AATAAAATGGTGGATGGTGCATGTGCTGGAATGCATACTGTGAAATTATTTGAAACAAAATCAAAAAGATGAGTTCGATTTTGAATTCTGCACACACAAATTATGCACAAAAAATTAAATTCTAAGATTAAATTAAATTTCAACGTGTATGAGTCAAGAATATATAATTTCATACAAAGATTTTGGAATATATAATTTCATACAAAGATTTTGGAAGAGGGGGCACTTGATAAAAAGGCACAGAAAGCATCAGAAGTACCTGGAACATAAGAAAAGTATATTTATTCTTATGGCTGAATTTCTATTTAACCATATCAATAAAATATACAAATTATCAGCTTGAAAGATGAGGTCACGATTTTGCAAAAAGTGACCAAGACCAAAGTGTTGTACGGTGCTTCCTGTGAATTTATCTGAAAGGATAGCATGAAGATGAGTTCATTTTTTGGATTCAGCATACTCGAAATATTCAGAAAACATTACATGTTTATTTACTCTACATTCTAGAAAACTCATTCCCTATTGATGCTATGTAATGTTTAAGATGAGTAAATGCGTCTACATGTCTACGTTAACACACTTTTTAGTTCGTAAATTGCTGATTCAGTCTGTGTTTTATGGATATTAAAATATCCTTCCAATAATACCTTGAAATCTTAAATAAAGACATTCCTTCTGATGAAGCTAATTTCATAAAGTTCACGTGTATAAGGAGGCCGCCATGTTGTTGTTGTTGTTGCAATTTAAAGTGCTCCTATTCTATAGCGGAGCATCCCTGGTTATAAAAATCATCTGAGTAGTACAAAACTGTTATAACCTGCAGTGCAGGATGATTCGAACGATGTTCATTCAGACCAAATTACGAGCTGATTTAGACCATATGATCTATTAATTATTGTTTAATCTTAGATTAATATGTGCTTTTTACAATTATTTTAAATGTTATATTTCTCATTACTCCTTTGTATGTTCAGCCATTCAAGACAACAAAACCGAGACGTTGTAAGATAATGGCATTGTATTATATGCTTTTTTTTCTCAATTAAGTCATAACTATGCAGTATTTATCTATATTGCACTGTTTTAAACTGCACTACACGTGTCTTAAAATGTTTCAGCGTGTTAGAAACTACTTTTTACTGTAAAAAAAAAAAAAAAAAAACAATGTACGCTCATACAGCGAAGGCCAGAGCTTTTTATTTATTAGATGTGTCTGTGGATAAAGCAAAGAAACTATTTCATCCATTTAAAAAGAAGAAATATTAAAGTTTACGATGAGGATGATTTTAGTGAGTCATGAAAGAAACGTTCAAGCAAATCAGCGCATGAATACTGCGATTGCGTTTTAACAACGCTTATGTATTTACGTTTGAATCAGAGTCAAGAAGTTCAATTACATGTACTTTGTCTTTTATAGCGTGTTGTTTTTATTATTCAGCCTTGAAGAGAAATGCAAAATGACGATATAATAAAAAGGATGCTACGTTGGTGCTGGAAAATGCAAACTCGTTTTTTCTTTCAGTCATAGTGTACTCCTAACGTCTTGCAGTATAGCGAAATAAAATTTTTATTTATCTATACAAAATGCAGTAGCCTATAATTTTTTTATACAAATCAGATGAAATAATGTAATAATGTAATAATGCAATAACACTAATCTTGCATTCTCATTTTAATAGTTAATTATGCTCAAAGCAGCTCAGTCACCTCTAAAATGAATTAGATAACTTTATTATTTAAAAATATTGCATTTACAAGCAGTAAAACACCAACAGCTCAGGGCCTACCTGACAACACCCAATTTTGAAAACACACATTAGACGGCTAATATTTTTCTAGGAGTTTAGATTACATATTAAGATCATAGTTAATTGGAGGTAAAAATGTTTACAGATGTTTAGCTCCATGTCTAACTTTTTTTTTTGAAATTAAGAATGTTCTAGAAGTATGTTGTTTACGAAATTGATGTCAAAATTACCCTCGTCTTAGTTCTCTTATTGTATCTTACTTCTTTACATAATGTTGTTTACTTCAAGATTACTCATTCCTCTGTTAACTTCTGTTTTAGAGGAATCAGTTTAGTTTTTGCAGTGGAGAGGATTTATATTATTGATTTAAATTATGCACTGTAATTACAAAGTGCTCATTAATACTTCTTGGACTATATCACTATTATGTAATTACTGTAAATTCATTCAAGGATATTTGGGATTATAAAAATTGTCCTACGTCAAGACTGTTCATACATTGCTACATCCCATGCCATTTGGTACATAAGTACATTCAAAATTGGAATTCATTCGATCACCAATGGATTCATTTGGAACTCTAAACTTTGGACTTGTGAAAGATCTTTTAGGACCATCTTGAATTTAGTTCACAATGTTGCAAGTTCTTTTAAACTTTTCACTTTGTCTTAGAGAAATACATTATTTGTTGAATTTTACAAAACTTATTGGTTTTCACTCTTTATTGCTACTTAGTTTAAGACCATTGATTCTTAACAATATAGTAATTGCATCCACTCTCACTAACCAATGGGCTAATTGCATCCACTCTCACTAACCAATGGGCTAATTGCATCCACTCTCACTAACCAATGGGCGAGATTTTATGAAACCCTTTCTGTGTCTTGAGGAGCAAATGTCATAGCTGAGATATGCAAACAAGCCAAAACATTTATAATTATTAGACTTCACGCTGTGAACTGATATATCTGGTTGCTGCAGTACTCAGTGATAAGTCATTTGAGTTCATCATGGCTGATAGCGACTTAAAACGCATTATTTGTTGCTAATTATTCGGACTGCAAGGTTCTTGTTTTCAAACTATTGTCAATTATTTCATATTACCATAAATGAAGAGCTTCTTCTACATGATAATGTATTCTTATCCACATAGGTAAATGTTGTATTATTGAAATGAATTGTACAATCAACATCATGTGTACATCTTTCTTCAACTTATATACGCATGCGTTGTTAGGGATCCACTTCGTGGATTGCTTATATGAATCACTCTTAGAAATAAAGTCTTGGAAACAAAACACTTTGTCTATTCTATATATACACAAAATAGTATGATAATTCCAATTGGTTTTGTTACTGATCTAAATTAAAGTCTTCTACCCGTCATGGCTTTCCTCTGGCATGGACGCATGATGGTAGCTTTGTTTTGCGGGTTCGCGCGCACTCACGTATGATGTGATGACAAAGTCAATGGGGGTGTAGAGGTAGAAGGCTTTGACCTAGAACAGTTACAAAATTCTAACATCTCTGTTATCATACTACTACATTTAATCTTACATTCAATACAAATTTTTAATCGGTATTGTCGTGCAACAGAATCAAACCTGAACTATTCAGATGTTTTCTTTTGCGTCCGATTCAGGTCGAACTTTCGTAAATCACTATTCCTTTTAAATTTTGCTTGTGTTGCAAAGTTAAAACCATTTACAAATAAAAAAAAAATCACTGTGTTTTGTTCCAGATTTTGGAAATACCTTGTTTGATATGGCTTTTGAATATATTTCTGGCTGACGGTTTTCACACCCACATTTTGTCAACCACAAAACACCAGGGTTCTTTTTACTACTGCCGGGGTGGAGTGGGGAAGGATAACCTTCCCGGCAAGATCAAATTTATATTTTAAACCCGGCCAAGTCATGTAATTGCAGAAACAGAGAAATCCGGCTGGCTCATAGTCGCCATATTCCTTTACCTCTTCTCTCTATATTAGCAGCCTCTTGCAGATCATCAACCGTAACTTGCTTGTCTATTTTCTTTTCCAATGCGTGTCGCACATATGGAACTGTTTTCTCCTTTTAAATAAATACATAAATACGCAGCCTAAGTATTGGCCAGGCTTTTTCTTCTTCTGGGATCTAACAATAATATCCACTCTTGTTGCATCAGATATCGTCTTTTCATAATTCAACAGAACTAAGGTTAATATATTGTCTTATCGTAATTCAGCATAACTAATACACAATCCCATTACCCTGAAATTAATATCTTTCCGTAGAGTTCATGTTCATAGTTCATAAATGGACTATGCTATAACCTAGACACAAGAAACCATGCTACATCCCCGTGGGTTATAAAACACTAACTCGACTATGTGTCGGTTGGCAAGTGCTGATTATTCCATTGAAAACAATAACAGCTTAATTACACGAATGAATTAATAGATTCTACATCTTGTCCTATCCACATTACTTTCTAACTTGCAATTCATTGACAAAAAAATTCCATACTTAGTAAATCAGTTCATCATTCATATCATTTAAGACAGATGAATTCACCCCTTCTCACAATTCGTTATCATACGTAGTGCATAAAACAAATACGGATACATAATTCGTATTACATACAAACCAGTGAATTCGAATAATTTTTTAAAATGGAAATATTGTATTACATTCTTTGAATACATGAGTCATATAACAATCAAGACAAATTAATTCCAACAATCAACTTCAAAACTCAATGAAAATTGACGTATGAATTTAAAACAAATTAATTCAGACAAATAATTACAAACTTATATTGTTAAATATATAGCCTGTGATTGAAAACAAACCTTATAATTTCGCTTTACTTTCTATGAAGCTAAATTTCTCTTTTCCGTAGCCATCAACTATTAGACACCCCTTCCTTGGATAATCTATAGAGGGATAACTCTTTCTGCTCCCGGGTGTCGAGATTTTCCCTACCACAGAAAACTTGGGCTGACTAATTTCGCGAGGAACTGCTAAAAACACCAAATCTCTCTCTCTCTCTCTCTCTCTCTCTCTCTCTCTCTCTCTCTCTCTCTCTCTCTCTCTCTCTCTCTCTCTCTCTCTCTCTCTCTCTCTCTCTCTCTCTCGCTCTCTCGCTCTCTCTCTCTCTCTCTCTCTCTCTCTCTCTCTCTCTCTCTCTCTCTCTCTCTCTCTCACACACACACACACACACACACACACACTTCATTTGGCTTAGCAAATCATTTTAACTTTAGCGACCGCTTCGGTGGCCTAGTGATATGAGCGTCCGCCTCGGATACGGGAAGTCGTGGGTTCAAACCCCGACCGAGTCATACCAAAGACTTTAAAAAAAATGGTACTAACTGCTACCTCGCTTGGCGCTTAGCATTAAGATGTTAGTGTTAGGACTGGTTGGCCTGGTGTCAGGATAATGTGACTGGGTGGGAGATCACGCCATTGTCTGCGGCATGATGCCCCAATGTTAGACATCACCACTATAAACTGTCACACTGCAGACATTGTAGCGATATGAAAGAAAAATTGTTAAAGCTACGTTAAAAATCTAAATCACACACACATTAACTTTATCTAACCGATAAAATTGTACACGCATATCGAAGTTAAAACAATTATCGCTATTCAGCCTTTATTAAAAACTATATCTAGAAAATCTCGTTTTATCACACTTATTTCCAAATGGCACACGTTGTATCTGAATTGTCTCAACTTTGACATTTTCCCTGCTTGACCCCAAGTTAACATTGTCTCTATCTGTCGGACCGTTAAGCCAATAGATTTAAATTAAATTAAATATAAATTATGGCCCCAACCTGGAAGGTTAAACCATCGATTTATAGCGGACCTAGCCTATACATCAAGTTGATTGTTACGTGTCATGCTGACCGCGACAAGATTATGTATTGCATGTATGTGTTGCAGTAACATTTATATTAAAAATTCAATCAGATACATAACCAATAAGTATTGTTTCGAATTTTTATTTTTTGGATATGCAGCAAGGAATGGGACCACAATTTTTGATATCATTTGTTGAACTTCATGCTCACAAATGATTCCATGTATTTGTATGTGTGTGTGTGTGTGTGTGCGTGTGTGTGTGTGTGTGTGTGTGTGAGAGAGAGAGAGAGAGAGAGAGAGAGAGAGAGAGAGAGAGAGAGAGAGAGAGAAAGAGAGTCTGTACATTGAGGAAACAAGCGATAAACTGACTACATACAGATTATGTAGCAACAGTTATTGTTTTATTAGCAAAACTAAATTAAGAACAAGTAAGCTGGGATTGGATAGAAGAAGAGTGATAGGGATACAAAATGGAAAAGCAATTAATTGCTTATATTACCTCATAATTTTTTTTTAAAATCATAATTATAGTATTTACGAATACTTAATAGTATCATCACACAGACAGAAGCTGGCAGATGAAAAAAAACAAGTAAGATCACCAAGTAAGATCCTGAGAGAACAGAACCTGTTAACAGTATTTAATGCTAGAAGGTGAATATTTCGTTGTCTTTTTGAGTGTCCTCTGTAAGCGGAACCTAGAAAAAGTACATCCCTGAACTACATTCATAATATAACAATATTAGTTGATTTAATATTTGTTATTTGTCTATGAATTTAAGGATTTGGAAGTACATGTACACGAATCTTATCCTAAGGTTACCAATTTCCTACAATCATATGAGTTATAAAATTAATGTTTGTAAAAAGGAAAAGTAAATTATTAGACTTCCTTTCCAATTATGTGACAAAGTTAAATTGCAAATATTTGTTTGTAATTGTATATATTGGATGTATGTGTGTGTGTGTTTGTGTGTGTGTGTGTGTGTGGCACTATTGTTAAATTTATCATTTTAATTGATATCTCATGTTCTTGGTAGTATTTTTCATTTTCCTGTAACTCGTTAATATATTTAAAACAGTGTAGCATAATGCTCATATCAAATGTATCGTAAAATGTTGTACGAGTTGCTTAATGGCCCGTAAGCCTATATCTCTGATATCATGCTTCCTATTAACTTCATTCTCGATGACCATAATTGATTTTCATTCAACATTCACCAACTGCGAAATGAGAAATCAATATATAATAGACATTTCAAATCCGGCAATATATTCTGTGTTAACCTCATATCCATGACAGAAATGTAACGCACCATCTAATCCCAGGTGTTCGTGTTAAACATGTTCAAAATATCGGCAAGTCACGTGGCCCTTTGTTTACATTCGCCATAGCGATAATTCTGTCCGGTGCCTTTTATGATCCATTCATCTGAGAATAGCAATAATCGGGAAAGTGGTACTCTAAAACGAAACTTCCACGAGTAAGTGTCTTTTCAAAGAAAGAAAACTTTATTGTTTCCAGTCCCAATAACTGAAAAGACAAAAAAAGAGTTTGTTCATACTCATATCTTTTCCCAAACCGAAAAAGAAAAAGATGATTAAAGAGAAAACCCTCAAGCCCAACTAAGTTTTATAAATAGGGGTTGTATGCAAATAAAGAATAACTCAAATTAGCAAGTATTCTCTCTCTGCATCATTTTTTTTTATGTTAGTTCCATCAATCGTTTACCGGAACACAAGGAAATTGGTTTGAGACAAAGAGACAGTTTTTTTTTTCCTACTGGAACAGTTGCACAGGTATATAAATTACAGATTTAATGTTTTTGAAAACGAAAAATGCCCTCACTCAAGTAGCGCGTTATTTGTATGTTTCACATTTTCAGCACACAGGACACCTCAATAAACGCACACGTGAACCCAGACAGATGGGCCTGTCATGAAGAACTTAAGCTCGTTTGCAGCGTTGGAAAATAAAATAAATAAAATATATAGTATTCACTAAAATATTACCTAGGTCTCAATAAAAATTGTTCAAGATCGATGGAGGGGAAAAGCTGAAATCAAGAACATCTTCCCAAATCTTTAGACTGCTACTGATGAGCGGAAAAAATGTTTAGAGTTCATTATGCCCATAGTTTACAATAGTGTATGTGACTACTAAACTCGTACAAGAAAATTTCTAACGCGTACAGCCTGTGTGTGCTTTGATATGACAGGTATGGTATAATAGTTCCAATACAGGTAGACATAACCTTGAAGTGATCCATGTAGCTGAATACGAGTAGCGAGCTAAGTGTCTGGAAATATCGCACTCTAGGGTAAACAAATGCTTGATCAACCTGTCCAGAATTGTTGACTTAGATCGCCTCATACGTGATATTTGGTTGCCTAGTTGACAACTTGTCAAACGACACTGACAAATATCAGGAATTTCAACACAAATGTTAAAATTTTGTGTATAATGTTGCTGGCAGTTTTAAATCTGGATTACCTGCAATTTATTGGATGATATAATACACACAAGTGGACATATTATAACATTACGTACCGCGGTAAGTAACCGTATAAAATATTTCACTGCACAGATAAGTTACTTTGCATATGAATTCTTCGGTATATACCTTTTATTAAGTAAAACACATGTTCAAACGTTATGCTTCGGCACGCCTTATAACGCTAATTTAATCGAACAATTAAATCCGATGTTTTGTGTTCTGTGGGTGAGACATTTATCATTTATCATTATCATTTATTCAGATGCGATGAAATTCTATAACATCCACTATTTAAAAATTTATTAGTATTGATGTGAATCTAATGAGTCGACTGGACAAATAAATTTTAAGAAACATGATTTCACTTCGATTGTAAAACAAATTCATGTACGTATTCTTTATATATATATATATATATATATATATATATATATATATATATATATATATATATATATATATATATATATATATATATATATATATATATATATATATATATATATATAGTATTGTATGAAAAGATGGTTACACAATACACGCAGTAATGTGATTGTGTACCCCTAAAGCCATAATTTAACAAAAAAAATAATTTCGACGGCACATGGATAAGAATTTTGTTACGTAAAGAACATTAAGTAGAATATATGTTTGACAAATATATTAAAACACCAGTAATTATGTGTAAACGTGAACATCAGACATAAGAGTTAGTTGGTATACAAATTTATTAAGAGAGGTGAATAAATATTAATCGCCCGTGACTATTCAGTGGCAAAATTCAGTACAGGGCTGCCTTTCACATGCATAAATGCAAACACAGTGCTATATTCTAAATAATCATAAACCGTGTTCCACGTCTAGATGTTAATGTTTTTCGTAAAAACTATTTAAGCTTATTATATCAATATTTAATAGACCCCGATTGTTATTGCTTAAGTGGACATCCGCCACCAACCGGCGTAAATTCTGTCTTTTAAAAAGGGTTAATGAGCTAAACGACGTAGGACCAACGTCATTTAGCCATGATAGGTCGATATTGACGACAAAGGTTTATTGTCTAAAGTTGTCCAAACGGGAGGCCAGTAAGCTAAACGTTTTTGATGGTTATGCGAGCTGTCACAAAACATTTATATTAATGACCAATGATTAATGACATAGTCATTTCTTACCCATCTGTCCGACAGACATAACCACTCTTTACCCTCAGCCCCTCCCTACAGAGCGAATAAAATGTTTAGATCGCTGGACACGTATACCAAACACGTCTAATCACATTTCCAGGAAAAGGCTCTGTAGCCTAGCTGGTAGAGCAACATACTGGCAACCCAAGAGCGAGGTTTAATTTTGGTTGTGGTGGTTGTTATTGTTGAAAAAATTCAATAAATTTAATTGAGTCCTTGGTGTGAATAATATTGTGTTGTAGTGGTTCAGCTAAAAGGACCGAGTTCAGGTTGGAAAATATGTAGACACGAATTAGATTAGTAAAGTTTAAAAATTGCATTGCTTACCTGACACTTGGAACAATATAAATGGCATGTATTTATGAGTGCATCACTATGGATTTAGAAACAAGATTAAAAGATTTAAAGTTTCTTAGATGCGTCACGCTGTTCTCAATAGAGGCTCATGTAATCAAACACAACCTATCTAGTGTTGTCTGCAATATTAACATATGTTAAGGTATTGTATGCCACTCAAATACACAATATAAATTTGAAAGTAAGATATATTGGAAAGTATTTTTAATGTATATCTAATAACAGTACATTTTATGAAAGGTTTTATAAATGATCCCTTTCTAAGTTACCATCATGATACTCCTCACGCCTCTAAACCTACATTTTAGCGTTTTCCCATTTGCACACCCAAGTTTTGCCAACGATGCATTTATTTTAAACTGCTCCGGTGGGTGGCCTAGAGGTTAGAGCGTCCGCGTCAAATGCGGGAGGTCGTGGATTCGAACCCCGACTGAG